GTCCTTTCTGCTCCCTAGTTTGAATTATCAATAAACCTTGTGGCTTATCTCTGAAAATAACGTTGTTGACAACACAAATATGGACTTAAACATGCTCTATCCACATATGAGATTTAGGAAGCCCACTGCAAATGTCAGGGGGTGTCCATGTGTTTGCTGTGATACCCGCTTATTATTAGTGCTGAACGGCAATCCCCCACTGGAGCCTCTTTGGCAGCCCTGCTATAAATTTTAATGTGATCGTGAGCTCTTCTCTTTTCATATCCAGTGAATTCTGCAAGATCATAATATTCTATATGAACCCTATCTGAACTTTCCTGTGATACAGAGAAAGAACAAGATTTCTAGTGGTGATAGATGTTCATCATTTTATGGCTTTGTGCTGGACACTGGGCACCACGGTTCCCTGAGTAAAATTACCCGAAACGAAGTCCGCTCATTTAATTAACCTTTATTGAGCAGTTACAGGGTGCAAGGCATGGCATGAGGCGCTAATGAGCACATCGCTAGCATGGTCCTCTGAGGAAAGAGTACTGATTCTTAAGGCAACCTTCTTTTGGGGAAACTGTCAGGTTCTGTGTGTCAGTGACAACCCTCCACCCAATGTCACTGCATATTTAGCTGCTCTTCATACTATTTTATTTGATTAAAATACTGGGAACAAACAATATAGTCACTTTCAATTTCTTCTGAAAATTAAGAAAATCAAAACAAATAGTCCCGGACTTCAGGCTTTTTTGCAATGTGAAAACTCATACTCTATAATGCTTTTCTCTATGCACTTAGCAAATTTGAATCTCCCTAAATGTCCATTGAAAGCAAAGAATAGATATTATAACCTCTGCCTTACAGATCTGAAAATTCAGGCAGAGAAGGATGGAGTGACTTATTTAGTCATTACCTGGGTCATTGGCAGGCCAGAGTCCTACCATTTTACATCAAATTGCTTATCCTATAATAAAGCTTTTATTTCCAGAGGAACGTATATTGCTTCTGTTATTTGCATAAGGTTCATGGGTCTGGGGCATCAGCTTGAGTACTTTGGAGAACACAATTCTGATTCAGCAATAATGTTTACTGTCTCTGTGTTTTGAATAACCCCAGAGAGTGCAGGTAAGGAAGTAAACCTCTCATGTCAACTTTGCTCGTGTTTTAGACCCCACTGTACAAATATGCTAATGCAAATATGGAAGTGGAGCTCAATATAGGCTTTGCCTGTGTGGCAGAGTCAACCATGCCCAAATACTAATGCAAATATACCAAAGCCATCACCTTTACACATTTTCCCATTCCCCAAAACAATGGGATTTTAGAAGAAAAAATGCTACAACCAGAGATACCACGTTAAAAAGGCCAGACAATTCATGCTAAACAACAGCAACGGAGTATGGGAAAATGTATCCACTTCTGACATAAAATGGACCCACTCTTGATGAGAAGGGTTGATTTTTAGGCAGACTGGCTTTGATGGTATTCTCTTTAAAAATAAATCTTCCTTCCTCCCTTCCCCACCCCCAGTCTAACCCTTCCTCTCTATCATCCACCCCACATGATAAGGTTTAATGTTTCTACTTTTCAAGGCAGCTAGAAGAGAAATTTAGCCTTGGAGCGCCACCTAGAGGAAAACACAGCTCACAAAGGCGCAGTCCCCAGCTAGAGAGTTATGTCACGTGTTTCTATTGTGACATTTTTCAGCCGGCTGGAGAATTCCATTCCAAATCCATCATAACACTTGGGAAGGGCAGAGGGGGACAGATTGGGAGAAGGAAAATGGGAGGATCATTTCACAGTGCTGGGAAAGCCACTATAGGGCTGCTGTACGGAAAGGATTCGGTATTAGGGCCTCTATTTCAGAAATAAGGTCATAATAAGTGTGAGTTCAATTCTTTTTAATTTGAGTTCAATTCTTTATTATTTCCCCAGTTCAGGCAGCCTTTGTTACTTCCACATGAAGCATGGGGGTGCTCTGCTCTACGTAAGGGCTGGCCCACTCAGCGCCCACACTGACAAGTCACATAATTGCTGCCTAGTCAGAAGCTTCTTGCTCATTGGAGATTCATTTGCTGCAGACCATGCTTGCCAAGTGAGAGGTGTGTCTGTGTGTGTGTGTGTGTGTGTGATCAACAAAAGACAATTACAGGTTTTTTGAGTTGGCAGGGACCTCCCTGTCCTTCCCTCCCACCCTCTGTATAGGTGTGTCTCAGACAGACAATCATGCAGTAAAGAGCAGCACAAATACTTAATGTGTAGGAGACCGGGCCTATTCTAGAGCTGGCTCTTTAGTTGAAGTGTATTCTGAAAGATTGTATGATGATGGTTTATGAGGTATTCTGCCTAGAGTTGTCTTTTGTTTTCCATTCTAACACAGTGGAGGTGTGGAGAGGCAGCCTCTGCCTCTGGGTGAACCAGTATGAAAACCTCTTTCAGCAGTGATTTGGTCAAGGGTGTTTAGTAGATTTACATTCAGGATAGTGGATATGAAATCTTCTAACCCATTAAGAACTACTTTGTTTCTTTAATCTATCCCTCCATTTCTTGAAGAGTACCAAGTTCCATCTCCCCAGTAGAATAAAGGTGGGTGAAGCAAGGACTATTTTTCATTTTGTCCTTGTATCCCCAGTGTGCCTAGAACAGCACTTTGCACATAGTGACTACTTCATAAATGTTTTTGTGCTGAATTGGAAAATTATGATAATTAATACTGGAAAGAAATGTATTTTTTTAATTTTTCTTAAAAAAACCTTTCCTTCCTTTTTTTCTTCTAGAAAGGTCTTATGAGGTCTATTTTGATTGTTCCTATCATTGATTCATTATATTATTGTCTTTCCTGTCTCCTTCGGTGGACAAAATCCTTCATGCCCATAGACTCTGGTGATTCTATAAGATCACTGGGACCTCCAAAATAAAAATAAAAATAATTTATTGAACACATGTTAATACAGCCTAGGTGCTGAGAAGGATTCAAAAAAAGTATGACATAGTATCTGAACACATACACATACAAACATACCAGATACACAATTTTTCCTGATACTGCCAAGTTATAATTTGTAAAAGTAAAGTCCAAGGCAAAGACCACTATTCATTCAACAAACTTTGCTACCTGAGTAACTAAACCTTAAGACTCAGAGCTTCTTCCTTTTCAATGAAAGATGCTACCTTATTTTGCAGGCATTTTGAATTTGGGGTTCATGAACTTGTTTTAAAATATTTTGATAGCTATGTTTCAACATAATTGGTTTCCTTTGCAGGCCTAAGTACTTTATTTATTTACAGATATTATCCTGAGAAGGGTCCATAGGCTTGGCTAAAAGGGTTTGAGACTCAGAAAAATTTAAGAAACCCTGACTTAGATTAAGCCTCTATGTACACCACTGTACACGAAATGCCTGAATACCTGGAAAGATACAATTTGTTGGTCTAATTTGCCTCCATGAATCTCAAAGAATTTGGATTCACCACTATGTACTGTCTTCAGGGCACTTCAATGAGTCTAAGTGAGCTGGGCTGATATTCTTTTAGTCATATGTGATTCTTCCATATGCGTGTCAGTAAGTCAACTAGTTGGAACAGGTAGTTAGGTGGCACAATGGATAGAGTGTTGGGCTTGAAGTCATGAAACTCATCTTCCTGGGTTCAAATGTGGTCTCAGACCCTTACAACTATGTGATTCTGAGCAAGTCACTTACTCCTATTTGCCTCAATTTCCTCATCTGTCAAATGAGCTAAAGAAGAAAATGGCACATCACTCCAGTTATCTTTGCCAAGAAAGCCCCAAAAAAGAGTCATGAAGAGTTGGAAAAGACTTAAATGACTGAGTAACAAGTCTACTAGCATTTATTAGTTGCTTACTATGGGTCAGGCTCTGTGCAAAGTGTTGGAAAGCCTGTGTTTTTCTGCACTAAAGAGTATCTCTATTTGTATTCCCAAAGTTTTACTTCCCTAGTAGTGCAATCTGGATATCAGGCTATATGGATAGAATTTTTTATTTCTTTTTATTTTTAAGAAAGATCATTCCTATGGGCCCTTTCTTTCAGAGTATCAAAAGGCCTTCTACAAAATATCAGTAGGCCAAAGAGAGGCCAATTTATTTCAACTAACAAATGTTTTACTTGTTGATATTCTACTTCAAGTGGGCTTGGCCAAAATAAACATTTGGGTTTTCCCCTCCCAGCAAATGGATTCTATTAGAAGAGTTTATTTCTGTCATTGTAGTAAAACATTTACTTTAAGTATACAAAATGACAACTGTTACCATTGGCCAGATGTCATTTGCATCTAGGGTGGGACAACTCCCCCTCCACCAACAAAACAAACAAAACAAAACCAAACAAAACAACAAGTCACACAGATATCCATCATGGTTGGCTCACAGACAGAGCTTTCCAGAGCAGCAAGCCCAACAGCTGATCCCACCTGACTTCCATTTAACTGGCAAGAATGTGGGCTGCTCCCCTTCCCACCTTCTGTGACCTTTTAAAATTAGAGTTCAATGGGATTTCTCTGCATTAATAATGTGCTCTACAATAAATATTGTAGCCTTTCTAGTACAACTATAGGATCCTTGGCCAGTTATTTCTCTGTCTCTTCACATCTGAGTTAGAGAAACAGAAGAGACACACAGAGAGAGAAAGAAATAGGAACAGAGAGTGAGGCAGAGACAGATAGAGTAAATTGAAAGCTTGTGTTCCTTTTTTAAAGAACTATTTTTACAGGATGCAATTTTACCAAGAAGCTTTTTAACATTTATTCTAAGATAAAAACCTAGTTATTTTGTCCTTTCCATTGTGTCAGTAACCTCATAGTTGCTAAAGTTTGAGAAATGTTGCCAGAATATGTGGTACTAGAACTATGTATTCTAGGCCCTAGAACATGTAGATTTTGATGAAGAGAAATATATACCATAATAAGTGGTGAAGAACAGAAATAATGAGGGGAAAAGCATTTAGGTGGTTGAGATAGAAAAGACAAGCTCTTCCACTGTAGCAGAATACACTCACGGTTAGCATCGCAAACATCAGCTGGCACACATTGAAAGCATGTCTCCAGTTGTGGTACAGTACCATTCGATAATTCTTTCTCACTGTAAGAAGCCACCTACATAGTGTCTGAAATGAGAAAGCAAAGATTTGCATCAGATCAATGGCCCATAGCCTCATTGGGCCCAGCCTGGCTCAAACAAGAAGTGGAGGTGGGATGGGGGTGAGGGAAAGTCCTCTGAGGAAAGGAGTGACTTACTTCATAGTCAATTTTAAATTTCTGCACCATCCCCAGCTCCATGAACATCCGCAGAGCAGCAGTGACCATGGCATCAACATCAAGGGAAAAGTCATCAAAGTGTATGTCATCAATAGCAAGCTCTGAGACCAGAGGGATGTTGGCCGCCTAGAAAAGGAGACATAAGTCAATGCGAGTTCCATAGACATCCCAAGCTCAGTGTCCTGCTCTCATCCAGGGCTTATCAGAAGTGTCACATAAATCAAGCTTGACCTACACTTACACCCTGATACAGCTAAACTCTAAGCAGCAAATGTCTTTTGTTTTTGAACTGCAAATGCCCCAAGCAAATGGAGAGAGAGAGAGAGAGAGAGAGAGAGAGAGAGAGAGAGAGAGAGAGACAGACAGACAGACAGACAGACAGACAGACAGACAGAGATAGATAAACATTTTGATAGACAGACATTTAGAGTCACACAAAGACAAACAGACACAAAGAGAGACAGAGACTGAAAGAGACAGAGATAGAGAGATACAGACAGACACAGAGCCAGACACAGAGAAAGACAAGACAGACACAGAGAGATAGATATGGATAGAGACATAGAGAAAAAAGATAGAGAGAGAGAAAAAGAGAGGAAGAGAGAGAGAGAGGAAGAAAAGCTAATCTGAGGATAAAATATACTCATTAGAGCTTGTATGCAGAATTTAGAATACTGATCTGTCTAGTTTACAGCAAACATGGTAATACAATATATTCTCATGCAGATTACAGTACTCTAAATGCAAGAAACATCAGGACAGCCAGCAGCTGTGAATTTTAATTGCTACCATTTAGAAAATCTAGGTGAAAATACACTACTTTGCCATATTCCTTATATCCTTTAGATGTACAAGTGCTCTTTGTTACATATTTACTGTATATTCAGTGGGATGAAAAAGGTCATACCATATATCTCTAGTACGAAGTGTGTTTTCTTAAATGGAAGGGTCTGGAGAATGTGTGTTTTTATTTTTCTTTCTTTCATTTTAGAAGCAAACAACAATAATACAATTCTGCTTTACCCTATGTAAACATAATACCATAGTTATGATATTGATCATAAATAATACTGGCTAACATTTATATAGCCTACATAAATATATATGGCTACATATATATGTGTATATAATCTCCCTTGATTTGATTTTCATAACAACCCTGGGAGGTAGGTTCCATTATTATCTGCACTTTACAGATGAGGAAGCTCAGGGTGAAAAATGTTAAGCAACTTGCCCTAGGTCAAACAACTATTAAGTATCTGAGCCAGGATTAGATCTCAGGTCTACCGGACTCCAGGTCAAGCTTTTATCCATTGTACCACCTAGCTGCTCATATGTAGTGCTGTCAAAACATCCATATTAAGAAATTGTAAACTACTTGCTCTGTAGAACCTGTTTGATTTTTAAAAGAAAAAAGAACTTTCAAGAAATCCCTTTATATTGGGTTCCTTTTGGTACTATCCCGCCATGTACCCTGATGTGCTACTGAATCAGGTACTCCTTGCAAGCTATGAACAGTAGAGGTTCTTTTGTAAAAGCAACCTTTTTGGGGTGGGGTTCCCCTGAGTTTATTGCTATTTATGCCTTACTTATTCACAGAGAAAAAATTACACAGGGAATCATTTGTACTCTGGGAGCTATCTGTCTGAGCAATTGAATCCATTTCAGGTCACTCAGGATCTTGGGATGCATTTATAGAAGCATGTCATCCAGAACAAAGTAGGTGATAGTCATGATGCACTTTGCCCTAATTATGTCACACCAAGAGTATTGTGTCCAGTTCTGGGTACCATATTTTAGAAAGGAAGTTGATGACACTAGTAAGCTGGAGTATGTCCTGAAGAGAACCACCAAGATGATGAAGGAAATGGAAACCACACCTGAAGAGGATCATTTAGAGCAGAGATTCCCAAACCTTTTTGGTCTACTGCCCCCTTTAAGAAAATTACTCAGCCCCCTCTGAAATCTACTTTCTTTAACCCTTTAACAGTTTTTTTGAAATTTGCATCATTTCCAAAAAATATAAAATATATTTCTTAAAAAATGACACATCTAAGATTTAATAATTTATTGTGGGGTTTTCCCTGAATTGAAATTTTGATGATGCAATATTGTATTATATAACCATATAGTATCTTATTGTAAACAAGTCATTACATGTACATATTCCTGCCAATGCATGCTGGACTTCCCAATAATGTACCACATACTTGCTTGCCAACACTTGCTTGTTAAGACCTGTCAGGGGACTTGACTACTGATAGGTTATAACTTGTATTTTGTGTGTTTATTTGGAAAATTATGTAACCACTATGACTTTAACTCTGTTATATGACAGATAAAACATGGAGGAAGAGTTTTTCAAAATTTTCTTATCTTTTCTTCTTGCCTTATGCTTCCACTGCCTCCTTATTTTTATTCAATGACCCCAATTGCACCCGAGGCTACTACTGCCCCCCTAGATCAGTCTAGCATCCCCAGGGGGTGGTAGCACCCACTCTGGGAACCTATGATAGAGAAACTGGCAACAGTAAGCTAAAGTGAAAACAACAATAACAAAGATTTAGGAGGAACATAATAGTTGCCTTCAAATATTTGTAAGGCTGCCCCATTGAAAAGGGATTAGAAGTTTTTGGGGGAAAAAAAAATTTTGGTTGTAGATGATAAAACTAGGAGTCATTGATAGAAGACAGAAAGGATTATAGATGTAGAAAGCAATCTTTTTAAAATTGGGTTGGAAAACATGATCACTGAGGTACCCTTACAACTTGAAGATGAAGTTCTTTGATTCTTTGAAGTCACAGGAAGGCAAATTTCAGTTTAATATAATTAATAGAGTTAATTGCCTCAGAAAGTAATAATAATAATAATAATAATAATAACAATAATAATAATGCTAATAAACATTACATAGTGCTTTATGTATGTGATCTCATTTCATTTACAGAGCTCATTTGTCCTTTGAAATAATTTGGGTATTTATAATAGTCCTTAGCTCAGATCTTATCTCTTGCATAAATTATTCTTTGGTCCTCCAATCTGGAAGTGACTGCTCTCTCTTCAAATTTCTCATGACATGTTAACCCATCACTTATACAAATCATATTTGAACCTATATTATAGCTATTTTTTAAGTTGTATCATCCACACTAGAATGTAAAATCCTTGAGGACAAGTATTAGGTGAATTTTCATCATCTATACCCATAGCATAAATGCCTTGTATATAATACTTAAATATTTGCATAATAATAATCAACTGTATGTGCTATTGTTTGTTAAAATATGTACCTTAGCTAGTATCTATAGAAGGGAAGAATGATAAGCAATTTAAAAAATTCTGGCTATATTTATTTTATTCGCAACGCCTCTCTAGAAAATGTCAATTCATCAAAGTAATAGGACATACAAGTATCCTAAATTCAGCATGGTATGGTGAGAAACAGTATGGGGCAATGGAAGGAAGGTGAGATTTGAAGTTAGAAGACCTGAGCTTAAGTCTCTATCCTAATATTTCAAGCAATGTGATTATCAGACACTTGGCTTAATGAATACTTTTGGTGAAATTTGAAGGATATCAGCAGGGCAGCTAGGTGACACAGTGGATAGAGCACCAGGTCTGGAGTCAAGAAGATCTGAGTTCAAATTTGGCCTCAGATACTATCCACATGATGCTGGGCAAGCCACTTAACCTCTGTTTGCCTCCATTTCCCCACTTTGCACAGTGCCTGGCACATAATAGGTACTATATAAATGTTTATTCCATTCCCCCTGGTATGCCTGTTAATGTTTAAGAGGTGCTTCTCTGACAAAGCAAGACATACTTTCAAGTTTAATACCCATCATTAACATGTTCTCTACCACTTTTTAAAGGCTAGACAATTAAGGAAACATTAAATCAATTCCGGATTTGTAGTGTTGCAAATTTCTGAAAATTTAATGATTGGCTCTCAGGGAGCCCTCTAGCACACTCTTGGACATAATGCCTATAAAATGTTTTGAAACAATTTAAGGGCTATTATAAATGTTAGTTGGTCGTAATTTACCAAAATTAAAATAAAGCTGGAAATCTTTTCAAGAAGTTCCTAACAAAACACAATGAATCCAATTCAATACACAATACACTTAAGCACTTACTACATGCAAGGCACTATGCCAAGCACTGGGATACAAATATAAAAATGAAAGCCAGTCTCTGTCATCAAGAAGATTACAGTCTATTAGGAGAAACAGCAATAAACATGTGCATTGTAATTTGAGAAGGGAGACAGCATTACCGACTACCGGACATGGGAATGGCTTCCCTTAGGGAGGGGCATATGAGCAGAACGTTGAGGAAGTCTAGGGATTCTGTGAGCTGAGGTTGAGGAAGTAGCTAATTCCAGGCACGGAGGACAGATTATTCAAAGGCATTGGGGGTGGGAGATGGACTGCTGAGCTTGAGAAACAGTTAAGTAGGATATTTTGACTGAAAAATAATGTATAAAAAGGAGATAATTTGATATAAGCCTAGAAAGAAAGGTAGGCTAGAGTCTATTTGTAAAGGGCTTTAAATTCCAGGCTGAGGTGCTTGTATTTTAACCCCAAGGTAAGAGTTAGTAACAGCCACTGAAAGTACTTGAACAATGGAGTGACATGGTTAGGTTTGTGCTTTAGGAAAATTATTCTGGCAGCTGTGGAGAGTATAGTTTGGAAGAGGGAGTAATAGGAAGCCAGAAACTCAAACAGGAAGCTATGAAGTAGTCTAGATGAGAAGTGATGAATTGAAAAGGTTTAAATTGGTGATGTTGACTAAGCTAGTCTTCACCCTGGCTCTCTTCATCCAGTGTATATCCATAGTTTGGGTGCAATGATGATGATAATACATGTATTATAGCTGCCCAAGTTGGACTTGGTCCTGTAGAATATTCATGGGGCGTTCAATGTTGCCATTATAAATTCTCTACATTTCAAAAGCACTAAATTCTCTTAATTATCTTAAAAATTAAAGAATATAGGCATTTTTTCATTATGAAATGTTAATGGAAAGGAAATAAGAACATTAGGTTGAAAAATGTGAGATGACCTCTGGTTCACCAAGACCCATCCTTATTGATCTTTCCTTTTTTTTTTTTAATAGGTTGATTG